AGGCATTGTGGGGGGGGGGGAAATTAGGGACATATTGGCTAGAATTCGGCTTTTCCTGCTTGCTGTTATTTTCTTTTTGCCTTCGTTAAGTGGTGAAACCGTTCCAATCACACCAGGCAACAAACTGCGCCTGGTGACACAGCAGGTGTGGGGCACATGTTCGAACACAGGGCCGTTTATTAATTTAATTAGCACCTGTGATCACAGGCTGGCGTTGCAAGGGCTTGAAGCTGAAGCATGAACTCGACAAGATCTTCTTGCCCCCACAGTAAATGTCGCTTCCTGCCCCCACAGTAAACGTTGCATGGGGTCTCATTCTTCTCCGTCTTCTCCCAGGGTCAAGTCCTCGGTCATTTATTCCTGTTGTTTTCCGCTCTCTCTGCGGTCCAAAGGGTGAAAAATATAGCCTTTCTAGAAATGTGGCAATTGATCCAAATATTTATCATAGTTCTTAATCGATGAGGAAATGTTTGCAAATTTGAGATGAATATTCAGGAATGCAGATGTTTATGGCATCAGAGAATGTGGGAAGTGGAAGCTTTCACTGGAATCACTTGGCCTCAGGTTCTCACTCTCTGGGAAAGAAAACCGGGGCCTAGGAAGTGAGCTGTTTTGTCTAAAGACCTGAAGAATTTGGATTGAAAAACAAATCTTGGGACCAGTAGTTGGAGTGATGGCTATGTCGCTGGACTTCCATGTAGTGGACCACGGTTCAAGTCCCAGACCCAGTGGCTTAAACTCACTCCCAGCGTGTGTACGTGCGCATGCCCAGGATCCGGAGAGGAGAGTGGAGGAGAGGGGATTCAGGTGTGGCCATCCCCCCTGGGGGGTGATTTCTCACTTTCTGTCTCTCTATTTCTGGTGAGCACACATGCCCTATAGCAAAAACCTCTCAATAAAGAAAAGAAAGAAAAGAGAAGAGAAGAAAAGAAAACAAATCTTTGATTCATATTTCAGGGCTCTTTTCATGATTGGGTTGACTTTCTTTTCCCCTAAGCCCTATCACTTTTTTTAAATTTACTTTACATTTATCCACTGAACATCATCACAGCATACAAAACGTGAATACGCTGTATAGTAGCTTAATCATACATATTATCAACAAATAATTTTCCATTTCTTGTTTCATATATATATATTTTTTTTTGATTCCCTATTTATCATTTGATTCCTTCTACCATTCCCCAGCCTTCTCCCACATTGTCTCTGGTATTTATAGTTGCTTTCTATTCCCTCCCCCCACACACACACACATTTTGTTGACTCACAGAATATCTTACTTGAAAGCCCTATCACTTTTTGAAGACATGCGACACGGACTTTGGCTAGTTTGTGCCAAACTAGCTTAATACCTATTGTCATTACAAGTGCGGGCTCTGTGCCACAGAGCTGTCCCCCAGACAGCGCCATCTTCCTCCTCTCACATGCCACGTTGAGAGTTACGACAACCTTGTCAAGCGCAGCTGTCAATAAACAGATGAAATGTTCAAAGACCCAGCCACCCAGAGATAACTAGGAAAGGCCCAGGAATTTAGTCATTTTGCTAACACACACATTTGCTCTGCCAGGAAAATCTCTTCAGTTACAATCATCCCGAGCATCAACCGTCTCCAATCATGGCTTTGCTCAGCAAGTGATTTTTTATTTTCAATTGCCAGAGGGGCTTGCATGAGCCAGAGGGGCAGAGAGGGGAGGATAAAAGCACCCCCTAGTGGGTGCGGCCACACCTCAATCCCTTCTCTTCCATCTCTCCATGCTGTCAGGATTTGGGGCACATGTGCCCTATATGTTTTTCAAGCCACAAGAGCTGCGATTCAAATTCTGGTCAGCCATGTGAGATCCAGCTCTCTTAACCCACTAGGCCACAGGGCCAAACCCCAACATGATTTTTACAAAACATTTTTATTGGACCTAAAAACAATCTTTATTGGACCCAGCAGGTGTCATAGCGGTTAAAGTGCTGTACTCCCACATGGTCCACCACAGTTCAATTCTGGGACCCAGAGCCTTTAAGATCACGCTGGGCTTGTGACCATGTGTGCCCAAAATCCTGAGAGGAGAATAAAGGAGAAGGGGTTGTGACATGGCCATCCCACCCACCCACCCCCCGGGGTGGGGTTGATTTCTCACTTTTTCTCTCTCTGGTGAGTGCATATACCCTATAGCAAAAAATCACTTAAAAAAAACAACCTTTTTATTGTGAAAAAGTACTCCTTAGTTTCAAGTTACAGAAGATTAGTTCAGACTGGCTGCGATCAAAAATAGAGAGCACTATTGTTTGACTATATCCCTTAAGTTCTTGTGTTGGAAGGTGGGGCCTAAAGAGAGGTGATTGGGTGATGAGGGTGAGCTCTCCTGAACAGATTCACGTTGTCAATGAGGGAGTGATTTGGATAACGTCAGTGTACCAACACAATGCCCTTGGACTGCCCCGTGTCCAGAATGGTGAGCTAATTAACTTCTTTTCTTTATAAATTATCCAGCCTGTGGTTTCCCATCATAGCAAAAGAAAATGGACTAAAACAGGAGGCAAAAGATTGGCTGTGTAACTGAAAGTCTAGAATACAATCGCTTCAGACAAGGTTAGATCCAGATGTTACATGACGTCATTGAGAGTCTTGGGCCATGTAGCACAGTGGTTAAGCACTGCACAGAAGCAGCCTGATCCCACATGGCCAGCCAGAGTTTGAGTACCAGCCCTGGTAGCTCGAAAAACACACCAGGCACATATGTGTACCCAAGATGCCAACAGGATGGAGAGTTGGAGGGAAAAGGATTGTGGCATGATCAGGCCCCAGGGGAGGGTGCTTTCCACTCTCCCCATCCTTGTCTCTGGCATTAAAAAAAAAGAATCTTAGGCCAGATAGTGACACCATTTTGTAAAACACAACATTTTTTCAAGGCTGCCCCACAGGAAAATTTCCAGGTCAAATCTACAGATATTCCTAAGCACTGGGAACACACTTGCCCATGATCTGGGGATGCCCGAAGGCTGGGAGTGGGTCATGGCATCAGGACCCTGTTAGGAGTGTTGTTTCTCTCTCTCTCTCTCTCTCTCTGACTCTCTCATTTATAAAAGACACAAATACATAAAATTTTAAAAATAAAGAGAATATGTTCCCACCCACCCTCGATGGTGCAGGTAGCAGGGTCCTGAGCTCAGTATATGAAGCCCCATGGTCAATCACAGTTTTAGATCCTGAGTCAATCAGAATACACCAGGTGCACATGCCCAAGATCCAGACAAGTTGGAGGGCTCGCGGGAGGGGATCATGGCATGATGAACCCTGTGAAGGACGCTCTCTCTCTCCTCTCTGCCTCTATCATGAACGAAATAAATAATATTAGGTCATCAGGAAAGTCATGACGCATTTTTGCATAGGAAAATGACTTTCCCAACAACCTAATAATATTAAGAAAATCGGTTTCCACCTTTCCATTTTGCTTCCTTCTCAACCAATCTCTCTCTGATGACAAGAAAGCTCTTACCAGCTTCCATCCGATTAAATTAGCAACCCAGAGGGGTCACTCATGCCTCCACTTCTGGGGTTGGAGCCTGTGCTCAGAGTACTGGACCACGTGAACTGAAATGGGTGTGGTGGCAAATGTTATCAGCCAGCTCCAGGGAGGGGTGTCTTCATTTGTAATGTTTGCAGTTTCCACGTGTCAGTATTCACACCATGGCAGAGTCAAGCTACCAGTGTGGCCCCTACACCGAGCTGGGTCTACCATAGCACATAAATGTAAACAACCTCAAGATTTTCAATAATGGGGTTGGCAGATGGCACGGCGGTTATAGGTGCTGGACTCCCACATGGCTGACGGCAGTTTAAGTCCTGGACCTGGTGGCTTCCTTTCTCACTTTTCCTCTCTCTGATCAAACTGGAAAATAATAATAATAATAATAATAATAAATAAAGTTCAAATTAAAAATTCTTTAAAAAAAGATGATCAGAACCAGCAGTTAGCATAATGGCTACGTCGCTGGACTCCCATGTAGCCGACCACAGTTCAAGTCCCAGACCCGGTGGCTTAAAACTCACACCGGGCACATGTGCGTGCGTGCCCAAGGTCCCGAGAGGAGAATGGAGGAGAAGGGATTGCGACGTGGCCATCCTCCCTGGGGGGTGATTTCTCACTTTCTGTCTCTCTGTCTCTCTCTGTCTGTCTGGCAAGTGCAAGCGCCCTATAGCAAAAACCTCTTTAAAAAATAAATAAATAAAAATTTAAAAAGATTATCAATAATAAAATGTAGTAAAATAATTAAGAAGTAATGAGGTTTGAAGATATATTACCTTTTCTTCTAATGTAATTTATTTAAACATTTATAGAATTTAACATTAAATGATGACTATTGTATTGATATGAAAACTGGACATAAGGTAACAATATACTATTAAAATTACTTATCTTATGAAAAAACCATGGTAACCAGAATGTAATGTAAGTAACGTTTAAAGGATACTTCTAAATCCTGGAGAGTAACTGAAAATGATTTATTCACCTTGAAATAGCATGGATAATGCAAATTTAGCTTTCCGGGTTTTTTTAAACAATTATCTGTTCAACTTTCTTTATTATTATCATTATTGTATTTGACTAGAGAGAGAAGGAAAGTTAGAAAGCAAGCCCCATGGTCCGGGGCTGAAAGAATGGTCAGTCATGTGGGAGTCCAGACCTTAACCACCGCACCACCTGCCAGCCCTTCAAAAAATCTTCACAGAGATTGTGTAATGGTAAAATGCAAGTCAGGCCCTGTTGAAATTAAATCAAATTTTGTACACATCAGGAACAACATATGAAAGTTCACATATAAATAAAAAGTCTCAGTAACCATTCTCTCTTTGGCTCACTGGCTATGGTAGGGAAGCTGGCCAGACTTGGTAACTTCATAGCTTCATACTGGATGGCCTGACCACTCCGACATCTCATGCTGGCTGCTGGTGAAAGATCACCGGTTTCTTAGGACAGATCCTAAGGCTGGACACTAACCCCAAGGGGACTTTTCAAGTTGAATCTGAAAGTCAGTATGCAAACAGTTGACAACTATTTTTACCTACCTTTGGAGACCGTCATTTTTGTGCTAAACAAACTGAGACAATGACCACTTAATCATCTTACTTGTTCACAGCACACATTAGAAAAAGTCGTCAAGTCGAGTTGAGTCGCGAATGCTATAATTATAGTGTCTTGTTCAGACTTCCTACTACAGCTGTCCCCTAACCACTCCCCACCCTCACTAAAATAGCGTTGGAAAATTATGTCATTCGGCTTCTGATTAGAGTGTACTAGTTGGAAAAAGATTTATACCATATAGCTGGAGCCTTCCCTTGATTCTTACTTCTCAGTCTTGGTAGGCCACCTGCTTTCCACAGGTGG